AGGAGCACCACGCAGCACTTCGCCAAAATAGTGCTCGGCGGGTAACCGGCTATCGTCCGAACCCGGGGTCGCAACAGCGGTGGCATCCATCTCTGTCCAATGTGTCTTCACACGGGCGAGTGCCATCCGCGCACCCTCTATTCATGCCGACCGCTTCATCGCCTTCATATGCGGCACCGCCCCAAGAAATTGCCGCAACAAGCCAAAGTAACTCTTCGGCTCGGGCCTATCCGGCCAGACATGGGTCACGATATCCATCATGGCAAGCCTGGACAACCTATTCAGCTCAGCCCAGTCGGCCAAACGGTCGGTCAGCGGAAGTGAACGCTCCGGACTATGGAATTGAGACCAAAATAGCTCTTCCGTCTCGTGATCCTTCTGGCTTCGAAAATGCAAAACGGCATCTGCCGCACTCGCTGCTAAGTCCATATAAGGATCCTCCGGATCCCACAGTTGGCCCAGCTGAGCATACTTTGGATCCGTAAACCTTCGGCGCAGTAGAAAAGGCTTGCCAGCTGCAATGTCTCCGACCTGGCGCAGCTCTTCCTTTATAGCCCGCATTGCAGAGCGGGCATCCTTGGCTTCGGCGGTGGCCTTCCCCAGGTCTTCTTGCACCGCCAGGCGCTCCTTCTCAAGAGCTTCATTGCGGTCGGTAGCATCTTTTAACTTCACGGCCATTTCGGCCATCTCTTCCCTGCTTCGGCAGTGTGCGGCCCTTTCGGCCGCTAACTCTTCGGCCGCCCTCGAGGCCGCCGCATTACTCCTTCTGGCCTGCTCCTTGGCTTGAGAAAATTCGGCCCGAAGGCTCTCCACAGCAGCGGCACTATCTGCATTTCACACACATGTTGTAAGAAGCTGGCTTCAGCTCCCTTACCAAGTGACCGCATAGAAACACTTACCTTGCGACTCATCAAGTCGCCTGTTGACCAGTGTGATGTCCGCATCCGCAACGGCGAGTTTTCGCTTTAGTTCAGCAGCTTCATCAGTCCGGCTGGCCCCCGGACGACCCGCCACCTACATAGGCAAGGCGAAAATTTAAACCTGCGATTTTGATCCTCGGCACGCTATCGCTTTCGACAACCTACCGAGTCTCAGGGGCTACTATCTATACATGGAGCATTCTATATGCAAAACTGTTAAAGGGTGTGTCATTTTTTACGTACCTCAAACCCTGCCAGCAAACTTCTGACGGCATTATGCAACCCGCCTTCGGCGGATGAAATCCTTTCAATCACCACACTCATCAATGTGTGGTGATCTTCTGAGATAGACGCCTTCTCAAGCAGATCCTTCAGCCGTACACCAGTTGGCGCCGAACTATCCGGCTTCACCAAACCCGGGGGCTCCCTCCGTGATGACACTTCAGGCTTGTCCGCCCCAACCGACGGCGCCCCGGACGGAGGCGTCTCGCTCTCCACCATATCCGGACGAAGGTCCCCCGAAGACGAGCTCATTTGCGAAGGGCGGAGATCCGAACTACAAGGTAAAAACTTTAGTTATCCTCAGAAGCACAAATAGGGATGCCCCTTATTATAAAAATCCCTTCTTTCTACTTACGGCTCGTTGGAGGGCTGATCCTTTAAGGGAGACTGTGCGGCCGGGGCCTCCCCGGACGCAGGACCCTCTGGCAAAGATTTCTTCCCTCGCTTAGGGGCTTTAGCCCCCGGGTCCTCGGAGGCAATCCTCTTCTCCCCTTGGAGGGAGGGATTCTCGATCCCCCCTCTTTCAAGAGCCTCCTTAGGCGAGGCAGTAGCTTTCCCACTTTCCCCTTCGCCTTCCTCTGGAGGTGCAACCTTCAACATCCGGACCAACACGGAATCCGGCACGGTCTCTGGGAGGGGGGCCGAACACCATATCAATTTTGCTTCCGCTATCCACTCCTGTTTAGAAGGAAATTGGTCATAAGGCGAATCATCGAAAGGCAAACAAACGGTATGTCCGGACTTGGAACTACTTACTTGAGTATCCGGGCGATTGCAGCTTAGGCCAGCATCCTCGGTCAATTCCGGACGCGCCTCTTGCGATCCGAAGAATAATTTGTACATCTCCAGGGGTGTCAATTCCGGACGCGCCTCTTTTGAAAGTCGAAGAACTTTTTTCAAATTCAATGAACTTTTTTCGAAATCAATGAACTTTTTTCAAATCAATGAACTTTTTCCGAAATCAAAGAACTTTTTTCGAAATGAAAGAACTTTTTTCAAATTTGATGAACTTTTTTTTCTAAGCGGTGAACTTTTATTTCAATTTTTTGAGAATTGATGAACTTTTTTCATTAAATAATCGATTTTTCAACAAAAAAAAGAATAGTTCAAAAATCTAAGTGGTATTACGTACTCCGTCCGTTCCAAAATAGATGACCCAACTTTGTACTAGCTTTAGTACAAAGTTGGGTCATCTATTTTGGAACCGAGGGAATAGCGTGGCATTTGTGTTCTTAAAGATTTCGCATTTGTTCACAATCAGTAGTCTTCCCGTGGTGTGGTTGTTAGCCGAACAAACCTGCAACCTATTGCCGCTAGTTCGAGTCGTAGTTCCTGCCAATTTTTGCGTTCTTTTTTCGAAACAGTTTTCTGCTCTCTTCGTCCGTGGGCCGACCCACTAGGCGTTGCCAGTAGGCGCCGGTTCCCTTCCGTGGCGCCCGAATAGGAGGGGAGCTTCTAGCTGCCGCTCGCTGCGGCAAGGAGTCGAGCAAAGCACATAAGGAGTCTGACCTGGGCCGGCCCAGTCGGTGCAGTGTATCGCGTAATTGAAAATACAAAATGGAAAAACGCGCGCTTACCAAGAATCGAACGTTGGATCTCCCGCTATGGTGGGCGCAACGATAGCCAACAGACCAATCAAACTTTGGTGACGGACATGCTGTAGGGGCATGTACAATGGTTCTATCTTAAGAGTGCCACGTAGGATAAATGGTGAGGTGGAGGAGAGAGAAATCGCAAGATAAGGCTTTCTTATTTAAGAGAAGGCAAGAGATGATCTCTTAGCACAATTTGTCTCGTCATATTTTTAGGAACAACTAATTATTATAGATAAGGCTAAGAAATGACCCATTGTAGACATGTTTTTTTGTCATATCTAATTTACATGCAGGACTTAAGATAAGACTATCTTATCAACCATTGTACATGCCCTAGGTAGCGTAGCTAGTGCATTTTTTAAAGACGAACATGAAATATTAATTTGAAATCCATAAATATTTTTTTGACATCGTGAATATATTTTGAAAACTATAACACTTTATCAAATACTGGGCATTTTAAAATCCCAGAACATTCTTTGAAACACGAGACATTTTTTTTTTCAAATTTTGAACATGAGAACATTTTTTAATATTGAGAACAAATATTTGAAAATTTCAAACAAAAGAAACATGAAAAATGACAACAAAAAAAGGAAAGAAAAATAAAAACGAAAAAGAAACAGAGAACATATTTTGAAAACTCGAACAATTTTACGAAATTACGAACAAATTTTGAAAACAAGAAATTTTATAAAATTCTCCGAACATTTTTTAATTTACAAACTTATTCTGAATCTTGAGAACAAATTTTGAAACAGAAAACAAATTTGGAAGCAGAACATTTTTTTGAATCTTGAGAACAAATTTTGAAACTGAGAACAAATTTGGAAGCACAAACAATTTTAAAAAGCACAAACATTTTTTAAATATTGAGAACAAATTTTGAAACGGGGACCAAATTTGGAAGCGCGAACAATTTTTAAAAGCACAAACATTTTTTGAATATTGAGAACAAATTTTGAAACGGAGATTTTTTTTGAAAAATCTCGAACAAATTTGAAGCGCGAACATATTTTGAAAATGTGAACCAAAAATTGGAATCCGGTACATTATCTGAATTTCAAAAGTTTTGAACTTTTTTGTGTGACAAGAACAATTTTGAATTTTGAGAACATTTTTTCAAAAACTGAACATGTTACAGAAACACAAACAAAATTTGAATATTTTGAATTTATTTTGAAAAAAGAAGAGAAAAGAAAATGAAAATAAAATAACAAACCAAAGAAAGAAACAAACAGAAAAAAAAGAAATGGAAATAAGTAAAGACGAAAAGAAGAAGAAAAAAGCAATAAGAGACAAAAGAAGAAAAACAACAAAGAAAAACGAAAAAACGAAAAAGAAACGGAAAATGAAAAAAAAACCGGTTCAGGAACCTGCTGGAAGGTTCCTAAAATAAAAAAGAATCGGCTGGAACGTCTTTGAAGTTTCCTAAAACCGGCAATACTGAAAACACTTAACGGGCCGGCCCACCTGGAACAACCGCTCGATCCGCGTTCTCCCGACATTTTGCCGCAAGGATCGGCAAATAGGGTTTTCCGAATAGGAGGTCCCCGTTAAGTCGCTACCCAAGCAAATTTTCTTGACACCACCACCGAGGTTCAACTGTGCTAGTGCGCACCATTACAGTACTCTGAGATGTTGCGTCAAATATGCATTCTGGGAACAAGAGAAGACAACTGAGGTAACACACCTTGCTGCATCGAAAAAAAAGCTCGTGCTGGTACTTTGGTTTACCACGAGAAAAGTATCTGATAGTATTAAACATAAATTTAGCTGCAAACGAAGATCAAAACAGCATGCCATCCGGTTGGTACTTTGGTCCAAGAAATTTATCTGAGAATATGAACAGAAACTACACATTGCCTGCACAAAGGGCTAAGCTACAGGCTGCCTGCAAATCAAACTCTACCCTAGACTGGATAGCCACAAGTGCCACAGCTTGAATTGGCTAATAAAATAACATCAAATCAAAGCTCTACACACAATTTGGATAGTCAATAGTACGCACTGACACAAACTGGTTCTGCAGTATCGTCACACCACGTTCTGTACCAGCAATGGGACAATCTTCACACAGAAATACAAGACCACGAAAGGCATGTATTCCTGTAACACATCACATGGTGTTGCATTTTCTCACCATGTTTGCCCACTTACCGTGATGAAGTGCATGTGAAACATCGGTAGGAGGCAATGTAAATCAGCTAGCAAGCTTGAAAGCATCAATGAAGAGGCCATATGTGAAACCCATCTTGAAATTGTTGAGGAGCGCGACGGCGAAGGTAACCTTAGGCCGGCTGTAGTAGAACTTTGTCACGTACTCGGTCAGGAGGACACACACAACTGCTGCTATAACATCGTTCACGGCCAAAGCACCGAACGACAGGGATATTGTCTGCGCAACATAAAAGCCACCCAGCAGCGCGATGCCGCCGAAAAGAGCTCTCCTGGACCCGCTTTTGAAATAGTTTCTTGACAGCTCCGGGATGATTCGGATTATGTCAATCAGCCTTCTACGGCCATCATTTCCCTGCAGAGCACGGACCTTGAGAAACTTGTAGGAGGATTTCCGTGGGAAGTTCTTGTAGCTCGGTGAGAGTACCCTTGTCCCCGTATATAAACCATAGTTGGAAAGGCCAATGGCAATATAATTTGGAGCACATGCCATAAGAAACATCGCCACCGCCTGAAGATTTTTTTTTTTGCAATAAAGACACAGACTGCAATTAGAGATGATATTGTTGCACCGACGGCAATAATTAGCAGGAAGCAAGTATGATTAAGTCGAGAAAAGAAAAAAGACCAAGCAGGGTAGGAGAAAAGGCTCACACAAGTAGTGGCAGGGAAAGAAAGAACAACGTGTACTAGTGTCACCTACAGGCTATGACATATCTGAAGAAACTGAAGATGCAGTTTCTCGAGAAGAGAAACCAAAATTCCAGGTAAAAGAAAAATGTACTGTTTTAGCCAATCGTCTGCAGAGTATGATAATTCAGAAATGCTGTATTTCCTTGGAGATCCTACTAGGAACTATACCAAGCCATTTCCAACAGCTGAAAATACTAGCACCAGAAGGATGCATTAGCTTGCTAGCAACTCCAGAGTCCAAATCACCAGGGAACACTTGCAATGGTTCACACTTCACAGACATGTAGCATGTTAAAATGGTTAGAGTGTAGCTTTCGGCACCAGTGTATGCCAGAGTTCAATTCATGCAACACTGCACTCCAAGTGTGACTCAATTTCTAGTTGTCTATGAAACATTGTCACAAGAAAAATATGCTTACATACATTCTGCAGCCACAGAGCATTCCCACAGAGATTTCGGCTGAAAAGCCTGATAATCTCGGCCAGCTAAGACAGTGGACACTATCCCCAATTAACAGATCTGGCAAGAACTGTATCACGCAACAATAACTTCAGACGGACAGAACAATGAATTTGCTAACACTTGACTAAATCCTGTGAATGCCATATGCCTAACAGTAAGCTCTACCAAATAAACAAGGTAAAAGACATGATTTGCCTCTGGGATGAAGTTCAAACTCACCTGCGCGACTCCAAATGGCAGAGAGGATCTGCAGTGGAATTGCGTCGAGCAGTTGGGGCGCGAGCCACAGCCACCCAGGAAATCAAGCGTTTGAGGACAGGTGGGTTGACAATTCGCTCCCCAGATTTCACCTACGGAGGCGGACGGATTTAGCCAAGAAACGAAAGAGATCAGGAGGCAACGAATTAATGGAAAAATGAGGAAGCGAGGCTGAGAGAGGAAGGGGAGAGATGAGGGAGGTGTGGTGTGGCGGACTAGTCTATGCGGGCTGCGACTTTCTCCTTCTGTGTGGCCGGGGCCCCACAGTTACAGAAGCGTTTTTTTGTTACCGAAATACCCTCCGCCACTAGGGTTTATCCCCTACCTCCGCCACCCCCAAAACCTCCATGGCCGGGGCGCCACCAAACCCCACACCGCCGCCTCTGCCTCCATTTCCACGCCCCATCCGCCGTCCCTCCCCACCCCCACCCCTGCCCCCGCCGACCCATGATAACCCGCCGTGCGGCGGCGGTAGCCCTACGCGCCTCCCTGCGCCGCGCCTGCTCCTCCCACGCCGCCGACTCCGGCGACCTCCTGCCTGGCCTCGTCGACCGCCCC